CCTACTCCTCAAATAAATCGTAAAACTCCTGCGTTTCCTTACTGAAAAAATAACATTATTTTTATTTAATATTAAAATTTTTATTTGATTGAAATGACAAATAAAGTCACTGAAGCAATGAAACAAAAGTTTTTGGTAGAATACATTAAATCAGGAACTATTCCAGAAGGTTTTTACATTCATACTATGAAGGATGGTAGAGTTCAGTTTAGAAAGATAAAGCAACCATTAGATAAAGAAGGAATTTTGAGAAAGATTAAACTTCATGAGGACAACATTGCTGAACTTAAGAAGAAGCTAGAAGAGTTGGAGAAAGGAAGAGAGTTATAAAGCAATGAATTCAACAGGGTGAAAAACCGGGTGAAAAAACAGGTGAGATCTCACCACTTCACCTAAATTTATTTTTGTGCTATGTTTTCATACGTGTGAGGGTGGTGATATCATTAATTTTTTATTTTATTTTTTATATAAATGACAGAACAAAAATATAACATTTCTACTCAGTAGGAATGAGACCCTTACTGACTATGTATTCGTTTAATGCTTGATGAAAACAATGGTACATATTATCGTATGGGTATACACAACGTCTGTTTCCATCGTCGTCGTATATGTAGAGCTCAAATCCAGTCCAACCTTCTTTTGTACAATATGTAGCTTTATTTAAGTATGCATTTATGTAGATAAGGCAATTTTCTTCATCGCTCCAGAAATAATTTTTGTTCTTTGTTGAAATAGTTTTCGTTCCTCTGCGACCATAAGGAATGTATGCAATGAACTTTGCGTCATAAGGGATTGTAATATATTCAGGGTTTCTTTCATCGTCAATGGGTCTGTCTTTGTTAAAATGCATGTTTCTCAGTTTTACTTGAGTTTTGAATAGTTCACGGAAACGTTCTGGGAAAGAGTCATAGTAAAGGTAGTCGGACATGTCTTTGGAATGAAATAAAAAATTAAAAAAAAAATAAAAATAAGGTTATTTTTATTTAGTGAGGGTGGTAGTGAGGACGGTAGTGAAGTCGTTAGTGAAGTCGTTAGTGAAGTCGTTTATGTGTCAGATGGTTTTGTAAATATTTAAGGTTAAGTTGGTGTTATGGGTGTGTTGTAAAATTTACGTTAACGGTTTCGTAAAGTGTCAAAACCGCTAAGTGGTGTACGGAGGCGCGCAGTGCCACAGTACACGACTTAGAGATACTAACTAACGTAGGTGAGTTTGGAGAAGGTTCTTCAACAACAGTAGATATTGCTTGCGACAGGTTTCATATTATTTCTATTGACAACTCATTCTTATACGTGGAACAAGACATTGAAATAAAACCTTCTGCCAAGTTGTCTGACAAGAAAGGTTGCAATGGAATTTTCTATGTCGGATACCAATATGCTCCAGAAGTTTTCATGGGATATAAGATATATTCTAACTCTGACTTAGTTCAAACAGTAACATGGGCAAACTATGAATGGTTCGCTTTGAGAAACTCAGTACAACCACAAGCTAGAGAACAAACAGACCAGTATGCAACTATTGAGAAAATAAGAAGACTTGACCCTAACGTTCCAGGAGTTTATGTTAACCTTTCTGGACAAACTGCAGCAGCAGTAACCAAAGTAAAACTGAAACTAAGAGTTCCTTTGTCATCTTTCCTCATCTTCAGGTTTTTAAGATACTTGCCAAACTGGGCAGGAAAAATTTCTATCGAACTTACTCCAAGCAAAAATAACTTAGTCATTGCACCAACACAAGACCCATTCAGCATTACTGTAGCTGGAACTGGTGGAGCCAAGTTCTGTGACTTTTGCAAAAACAAAGTTGACTTAGACTTTGGTTTCTCAAACCTCAACACTGAAGTAAACTATTATTTCAATGCTGCTGGAGATGCTTGGGACCCAGTTAAGTTTACATGCGAAAAATTTGAATGCAAGAGAATAGAAAGCAGACTTGCCGTTTATATGTTGGACCCAGATATTTCAAATGCTTTAGCTGCCAAATATATTGCAGTTCCACTTATGTTCCCTATACACCAAATATCTGTCAAAGACTTTGCAGGTGAAGTTGGAAACCAAAATCCAGGAGCCGCAGGTGCAAGAACAGATATTGCTTTAACAACTGCAATGAAACATGCAGATACTATGTTTGTACTGTTCAGACGAACTATAAATGACTATTCTTGTTTCTACAACCCTGGTATTAAATATCATATAAACATAGATGGCAAATATTATCCAAGAGAAGAAATATTCTACAGTTGAGGATATGAGGTCATACAACTTGACATTAGATGCTATGAACTTTAACAACAACTTCACAACAACTATTAACCCTGAAATGCAAAGTTCTATTATGCCATATGTGAAAGTATGGACTCATACAGGAGGTCAAAAAACTCAATATACAAATGGAGACCGTTCAAACTTTTGGCTTGGCATTCCATTTGCTGACTCAGAAGACTTTATGGGTGGTATTTCAACTGTTGGTACAGTTCAAATACAATATACTGGTGACAGAGACGGTCCAGATGAATTGAAAGCAAAGAAGTTTACAAAACCAATAGCACTTTTCACGGAAGATGCTCTTTTGAAGATTCGTTCGATGAAACCTGCTGGGGCTCCTCAGATTGGCATAACGACAGCTTCCATCGAGCAGATTTTGGCAGCAGGTCAGTAAGTTGTTCTTGAACTGACTTCTCTCCGTCAAATATTGACAGTACGCCAGTTTTGACATAATATTGTATTATAAACTTTCCTTTAGTAATATCTGTAAGTTTTGAAGTTATATTTTTGTCTGCTTCAAGAACTTTCACCATTTCAGTTATACCAACTTTCTTTGCTTTATGAAAATATTTAGGTTCAGCAAAGACTGCTATTCTATAACATTTTCCATTGTTTGTGTAAAGAACTATTCTGTCAATGTATTTGTATTGTTTGTGAGTATAAACTTTGTTTTGCTTCAATTCAAAGAGATATCCGAATACGTCCATCATTTTATTCTAAGTAAAATGTCATTTCCGAAAAATAGAAGCGTAAGTGTTTCAAAAGGTTTAATGGCGGTGGCAGATGTGAAGTTAAATTCACCAACTCAAACAAACAGTCAAAGTGTTGTTGTCAATGTCAAAGACAGAGATGTTGAAGTGGGGAAACCATACGAAGACGAAGATGGTATAACAATTGTTCCTGTAAAAGAACCAACATATCCTGAAGTTAACAGAGACTTAAGTTCTGTTGCAGATATTCGAAACGACTACCAACAACTGAAAGACAAACTTCAAACTCAGGAGAAGATTTGTCAAGCTTTAAGTATAATGTTAAACTTGGTCGAACACAACCCTGTAAAAGTGAACTCATATGTCATTGCACCTCATGAAGTTTTGAAAGAACTATTGAAACTTTTGACAGAGGCAGACGATATAAACATCAAATAAATAGAACCCGACATTAGTTGCTGTGGTGTTTCATATAATGTCATTGACAAGATATACGTTATGAAAGGAGGTGAAACGTTGAACTTAAAATATAGTTTCCCAGACGTTATAAAATATTTGACGACCACAACATTTCATTAAAATTTATTTGCTAAGTAAATGGCAGAAGACATAATGGTTTATACTATTACGACTAAAAACCCTGAGTCATATAATTCTATAACAAAAACTTACAAAGTCCTCAAGGACGATATTGTAAACTAACCTTAAACACAATGACGACTAAAGCCTGTTTTGCTCTTTTGACACCAGAAGACTTTATTGTTGTGAATGGTAAAAAATACTCCTTTGAAGATACTTACTCAGATATACCACCAACAGGTTTTGTTGACTTATTTAATACTTTAAGTACGGGTGTAACATGTGCTGCAACTAGAGCAGGTTTCATTATGTTTGGATGTCCGACTGAGTTTACTATAAACGATATGAGCTATAATACAAACTTAATTTCTGGTTTTACTACAACAGTTTCCTATAACAGGAAAAGGTGTCATACAAGGTTTGTCTATTCCATTGACATTAAGCACACCAATCTTATATATTGTTTCAAACTTAGGTTCAAAGTGTTATTCGAATGTCGACAGAAACTATTATGACCAAAATACTTTATGCGTATAAACAATACTTTCTCTGCTGGTTTGCCTATTTGTTCATTCGAATGCAGAATTTTCAACCTTAGTGAACTCAAACACTTTGGCAAGTATAACGTTGACATTAGTTGACGCAAACTTTGTTCCTGTAAACTTTTATGTCCTATGTATTTGTCAATGACGGCAGAAAATTTCGAAATTGGAAGCTGCAACTGGTGAAAGTATTGTATTTACAAGAACAACTTCAACAACAAATAGCTCAAGAACAAACAAATGCAACAAATGGAACAACAAAGTCAAGAATAAAAAATAATATTTTTTTTTATTTTTATAAAAATGTACAGAATAGATGTTTCAGATTTTTATGACTTCAAGCATTCAGAAATTGTGTCCATTTCGAGACTATAACAAAGCAGTCGAGAATTTGAAACGTTTAGTCATTTATGTTGACTCTGCCCCAGAATGTTATGTTATGAAAGAATGGGATGTAGTCTTTAACAAACCTAAAGCGACAATAGTTTCAGAACAAGAATGTAGACAGAAACTTAAGAAAATAAAAGTCGTACAAGTTGGCATGAAGATGTTAGATGCTTGGGATATCTTATTGTCAAAGTTAGAAGATTTTTCAGTTCGAGGTATAAAGTTCTATACACCTTCTCCAAACTTCTATTCTATCTTCACTGGATATAAATACGAACAAGTAGAATGGAAAGAAAATATTATAGAAGCTTGGTTAGACCATGTCAAAGAAATTATATGCAATGGAAACGAAAGAGTCTATGAGTATATCTTATGTTGGTTTGCAAATATCTTACAACATCCAAGTGCTAAAAATGAAACTGCTCTCATTATAATTGGAAAACAAGGACCTGGTAAGAATACTTTCTTTACAGATATTTTGTGCAAACTGTTAGAAGGTTATTCGAATCCGAATATGACAAACTTAGAAAACATCTGTGGCAAGTTTAACTCCTCAATTGAGAATATGAAACTTATAGTTTGCAATGAACTTCAAAGTATAGATACAACAAAAGTTTTGAACTCAGATGCTTTGAAGAGTCTTATAACAGACAAAGTTGGAGTTGTTGAAAGAAAGTATAAAGACCAAAGAGTTTGTGAAAATGTTGCAAACTTCATTATGGTTTCAAACAATGCTGTTCCGATGAAGTTAGAAAGTTCTGACAGAAGATATGTAGTTGTCAGAACGTCAGATTCTCATATGCAAGATACAGAATATTTTGACGACTTAGCAGAAACTTTGACATCTGACTTTTACAACCACTTGTTCTCATATTTCATGACATTAGATATTTCTAAGTTCAATCCAAGACAAATTCCACATACCGAAGAGAGACAAACATTGTTAGAAGCAAACAAGAGTGTATATGAACTGTTCATAGATGAAACTGACTTTGAGTGTTTAGATGAAAAGTCTTTATATGATGAATATAAACAATATTGTCAAGAATATGGTTATATGGCAGCTTCTAAACGAACATTCTTGGCAAATGTCAAAAGTCTTTTAGACGTACAGAATGGTGTATATACAAAGAAAAATTTTTCTGAGTAAATTTTAAAAAAATATTTTTTTATCCGATAGAAAAGATGGCAAAATTCATCTCAGTAAATAAGTACATGTCAGGACTTAAAGAAGAACTAGACCCATTCACATATTTGAATGTTTACTTCTACCATTTTGAAAAGTCTTCATTCAGCAAAGTTTGGAACATCGAACCAGTTAAGTTTGCTATTGTGACTAAAAATGGTGCGAAATTTGAAGACTTAGACATAGAAGGTTTGTTAACAGTCAAAGAAAGTTTTGACAGAAGGTTCTCAAACCTTAAAGAAGGCAAAGCATACAAACTTGTTATACCTTATGAACCAAAGAAGACAGACGACTATGAATATTATGAGTCTAAAGTTGTAGAAGTTCAAGGTAAATTGTGTAAAAAGCTATTAGAGTCTAAGCCAGTGTTTACTCCTAAAGAGGAAGAGAACATTGACATTGACCCAGAAATGTTCTAAAAATAAAATTTTATTTTTACATGTCAAATTTCTTTTTCTCTGGAACTGGTTCAGGTTCTTTCTTCTCTTCTTCTACTTTCTTTTCTTTCTTCTTCTTTTCTGGTGGTGAGACGTCAAATTTCTCAGAACCATATTTATGTAAAAGTTCTTTGTCCTTTAATAGCTCATCTATTCTGTTTTCTATTTCATCTTCAAGAACAGCGCATGTGTCTTCTTTGCATTCTAAGAAGTTTTGTTGGACTTCATCTTTCCAATCGGCGTCATCTCTGTCAACAAGTCTGTCATTGACAAATTTTAAGACTGCTCTGCTTAATGTTTTATGGTTCTTGTCATATTCCCAGAAACAGAACTTTAGAACAAATTCACCTTTCTTGTTTACACTATGTAAGATTTTATGGTCGACAGATGTTTTGCTGTCAAAAAGTTTGTCTCGAATATAGATAGCGAAATCGCTAGACATTTTCTAAAAGATAAAAATTTTAATTTTTCTAAAAATATGTTAGAAAAAAAGTTTGCTGACATTGACAAAAAATTTGAGAATGTTTTAAACAAGAACAAGGTGAAGTTAGAAAATGCTCAGATAAAACCTATACATGAAAAGTTCTTATTTGCTCAGAATGGTATAACAGGTCTAATTGCACCACCTGGGTCGGGTAAGACTTTCACTTATCTTAAAATGGCTGCACAACAACAAGAACTAGATGAGAAGAACCCATTCTATGAGTTAGTTGTTATTTGTTCGACTTCTGGTCAATTTGACCAAACCGTCAATTCGTTCAAAGATATTATAAAGAAGTCTAAGTTAGTATGTATAAAGGATACTGAGTTGTTAGATTGGATAAAGAAGTACCAAAGAAGAGTTTTGAAGTATAATGCTATAAATGAGTATATAAATTCTAAGTTTAAAGACCCAAATGAGGAAATGCAGAGAATATTAGAGAAGAAACACTTCAGAAACAAACAGAAAGAGATAGAATACATTTCGAAGAAATTGCAATCTTACGATTGGAAGACTTACCCTCATAGATGTCTTCTTATCTTAGATGATTTCGCCTCTCATCCTTTGTTAAAGAACAGAGAACAAGATATGTTCGAATTCTTAAGAAGCTCAGACACTTTAACATCTCAGTTGTCATTTGTGTACAGACAGCAAAGAGTTTAAGTAAGGATGTTAAAAGAATACTTACTGACATTATACTTTTCCCCGGATTGTCCGAAGACGATTTCATGGAACTTATGAAAGAGTCCATGGCAGGTAAGTTTGACAGACATGAACTATGGGAGAAGTACAAAGTCATACAAGACCCTCATACTTCTTTCAGAATTCATATCTACGCAAACAAAGTTCAAATTGTAAAAAGTCAATAAAAATAAATGGTTCATCTACCCTACTTGTTTGAAGTTGTCAAAATACTCTGTTATTTTTTCTTTCAGTAGCGGTAAGTCTTCTTTGAAGGTAAGTATTGTACAACCTTTCATATCATAGTGTGTTTGAGGTAACGTATCTTGAACTATTTGTTTCACATCTTCATTCGGTGTCATTGAAATCGGTAAGTTTTCGCGATAGAACCAATTTCTGTCAGATTTGTAAATCTTAGCAAGGTCGTAAAAGCTTTTGTTGTTTCTTCTGACTAAATGCAACATAACCATATCTTTATCTTCTTCATTTTCCAACTCTTCAGTATATATCATATACTTATAACTCTTTTCCTTTCCTTTTGCTACCGAACGTGGTATTCTTTTCTGAATGCTTTTGTCTTTTGCTTGAAGTTTCTTTTCCATCTCTTCACGTTCTTGTCTATGAATTTCGTCAAGAAGTCTGTAAATATTCCAAGCATAACGAGGCGAAGCCCACATTGCAACAGCATTTACAAGAAGTCTATGTACATAATATCCTCTCAAACCGTTTGGCAATTTTTCACGATTTTCATAGAGTTTTGGCGACTGGGGTTTTTCTCCCACTCGAGTTTTTGCGACTACGGGATTTCTCGTAGTCGAATTTTCAGCTTCATTTAATAGTTCAATAGTGTTTTGGTTCCTAAACCAGTCTTGTGGTTTCTTATTGTCGGGTGCAAAACATGCTGTCAAAATACTTTGCATTTGGTACATATCGTCTTTGACCGAACGAATGAGACGGAGTTGTTTGTTAAACTGTATGTACTCGTATTCTTCATTTATAGCTTCATGGACTATAACTGTTGTTGTGTTCTCTGTTGTTGACATATCTGTCTTTACATACAAAATAAAAAAATAAATAAAAATAAAACTAACTTTATTTTTTCTATCTTAATGAAATTCATGATTTTTGTGCTGAATTCAATAAAAATAATGTTTAGGTGAATCCCACATTGCAACAGCATTTACAAGAAGTCTATGTACATAATATCCTTTCAAACCAGGAGCCAAATTCTTGCGATTTTCGTACGGAATCTCTTCCCTCGGTTTTCCGAGGGAAGCAATCATATGAGGAAATTCATGATTTTTGTGCTGAATTCAATAAAAATAATGTTTAGGTGAAGAGGTGAGATTTCACCTCTTTTTTCACCCCAGTTATTTTATAAACGTTTCACATGGTAAACGTTATTTTTTAAATTTTGTGAAAACTCAACGGTTTGACACAAGCCCTAAAAATTATTTTACTCAGAATTTTTTGCTGAATTCAATAAAAATATATTTTAGGTGAAGAGGTGAGATTTCACCTCTTTTTTCACCTGTTTTTTCACCTCATTATTTATAACCGTTTTACATGAATTGTACGATGTATATTTGAAATCCTAAACAGTTTTGTAGCTTCTATTTCTTCTTTTAGTACATCGAATGTTTTAACAATGCCGAAGGTTTCTTTATACTTCTTCTTGACGTCAGATAGAAGGAAATCGTCAGCAGTTGGATAGTTTTTGTTCAGAAATTCTAACATGTCCATTTTATTTTCTGCTTCTTTCTTTAAGTCTGCATAGTCGTTTCTCATTCTTTCTATCTCTTTTACTGAATAGTTATATTTCCTAATTGCTGCTTTACATTTAGAACATTGCGGATTCATTTTTGCGTTATATTCTGAAACCTTACCTGCTAAAACAACCAAGGCGTCAATGGTTTTCTTTAAATCTGAAGCAGTTGGTTTTATCTGTTCATTCCATACCTTACCTCTTCTATATTTATCTCTTATCTGCCATACACATTTTGCAGCTAATGAAACAAAGTTGTCGTATGTCTTAAACTCCCCAGATTTATATATGTCAGAGATGTTTTTATAAATCATGTCGCAGTCTTTGTCCATAACTTTATGGTTGCAATGAAAACCAAGGAATTCATAATTTACCTTTCGTATGAACTTCTTTATTTCTACTGAGTCAGTTGGTTTCACTTCTATTTCATCGAATTCAGGAATAGTTAGTTTTTGTTGTTGGATTTCAGGTAGTTTAGGCAAATGGTCGATGAGGTCCTCCATTTCATAAAGATATTCTTCATTTTCTTCATCCTGTGCGGTACAGTCTAAATTACTTGTTAAAAGTTCTTGCTTTATTCTTTGTATTTCTGTTTCGAAAGTATATGAAGAAGGAATAAAGCTTTTCATCTCTACCAACATAGATGTTGGATTCATGACTAACGAGTTTGGTGCTGTTGTTTGAATTGTTGTTGTGCCGATTGTTGACATTACTGTTCTTACATACAAAATAAAAAAATAAATAAAAATAAAACTAACTTTATTTTTTCTATCTTAAGGAAATTCATGAAAATTCAAGAGGGTGAAAAAACAGGTGAAAAAAGAGGTGAAATCTCACCTCTTCACCTAAATTATATTTTTGCTGAATTCAGCAACAAAATGAACGAGGTCAGGATGTATGTAAATACCTTTGAATTCATTTATAACGCCCTTAGTAAGCTCATAAAATGCTTGTTTTGAGGTCCAGCCACTTTTGGCTCCACCGTATTCTTTCAACCAAAACTCAAGAATTTCCTGCATGAATTTTGTATAAAAAGCAACAGTCCGAATTCCGGCGGTTGCTATATTCTTCACAAAATGCCTTATAATACTCTTCCCAGGACTTATTTTCCAACAACTTTCTAAAGTCTTTCCTAAACTGACTGACTGACTGACGGCACAAAGTGGCTTAACGAAAACATTAATATATAAAATTCATGAAAATTCAAGAGGGTGAAAAAACAGGTGAAAAAAGAGGTGAAATCTCACCTCTTCACCTAAATTATATTTTTGGTCCGGGAACAACTTTCTCTCAATTGGAGCTGTGGCATACTCTTTGCGTAAGCGGTTCAGACCTTCTTCGAACTCTTGGTCTCTTTTGGACTGAGATTGGAATTGGAATTTGAATTGGGGTGGAGCTTGCTGGAACAACCAAGGGTTGGGGAAGTAAGGCATAGGTTGAGGAGGGTAGTTCGGGAAGCCTTGTGGTGGGTAGTAACCTTGAGGTGGAAATTGGTAGTAATTCGGAGGTCCTTGTTGGAACTGAGGTTGCTGTGGTTGCTGCTGGAGTTCTGCAGCTTTCGGTTCTTCTGGTTTGGGAATGGACTCGGTTGGTGGAACGTCGGACATTCGTTTGTGTCCTGTCGGACCACAACGATAAAAATCTCTGCTACTAGCAGTACTTTTACTGACAGTAGCAGTACTTTTACTGACAGTAGCAGTACTTTTTCTGACAGTAGCAGTACTTTTTCTGACAGTAGCAGTACTTTTTCTGACAGTAGCAATGGTCGAGGTCGAACCTACCGACGAGGCAATTTACCTCATTGAACTTAACGAGCTTGTTAAAGACTTCCTCAGGCAGAATGTAAAAGGCAAGCTTGTTAACGGTTGGATAACGGGAAGGTCTACACTTCAGCTCGAAATTTCGACTGGAATTCCAATTGAGGTACCAGAAGGCACTCCTTTCGAGGACATAAAGCAAGCAAAGAAAGAAGCTCTTCTCAAGTTCTTTGCAAAGCGCCCATGGATACAACTTCCAAACAGAGAGAGTCCAATTCCACAAATTATACAAATTCTCAGAGCACTGTTCCACTTCTCGGGTCAGCCGTTCTACATAACCTCAGAAGGCGACATCCAACCAGTTCAGTAAACATCTCATTTTAACTTCACCTTTTTTATGTTTTTTGTGAAAGTGTCAAAAATAAATTGTTTTCATGAGTTTTCTACGATGTTAGAAAAAATGTTATTTTCTAATATCTTCACATTCAATACTTTTTCAGCACTTTTCCGTAGTTATATATGAAAGACAATTCGAGATAAAAGTCATAGTACAATGGAATAATATGTTGCACACCATTTGTTGTGAACCAAACTTGAAAGTCAGAGAAACTGTTACTAGGTGGTTCGTAGAATTTAGAAGCAAAGTCATAAAGGTCCTTACCAATACATAGAAAACTATTGTTGCTTGAACTGAAACTTGCATGACACATAACATTTTGAGGGTCAAACACGTTTCTATAAACCATCAAATCTGCTGGTGGAAGTATAAATTTAAATGGACCATCTGGTGGTAATGGTTCGTTCTGGTTTAGTAACCGAAGAAATTGTGCCCAAGAACGTTTGTCTACTTTCCAAAATAAAAACTCTGTATCTCTTGGAGGGTTAATTTCAATCTTTTGAAATGAAACGGTGGAGTTCATCTTGTCATATTCTAGTTTCAGATAGTATGTTCCATTTAGTAAAGAGTTGTATTTTTCTTGAAATTCCCAATAATATTTGTTCATTTGAGTTTGAAAGTCATTTAGAGTTTTCTCAAGACTTTCGTCTGAACGAACTGTAAAGATTCTCATTTCGTCAAATTTGTCTATTAGACCATCAGAACCTTTATACTGCCCATGAAAATATACTGCGAACATAAATGCGTTAGTTCTATTTGAAAACAAAACTCTTCTAAATCCTATTGCCTTTGCATCTGAAGGACTTTGAAGCCAACGAATCGGATAGTCAAACCTGTATGCTCGGGATGAAATTTCTTCATCTGAAATAGTCCTACCAGCATTTGTAAAGATATAGTCTAACGGTTTTGTATCTGCTACTTTTGTTCTTTGTTTTTCAACCTGAAGCATTTAATATATGTAAAAATATATTGTTTTAAAATGGTATGCCATATAGCTTCTTGAATTTGTTAAGAAGTATTTGAACGTATTTTCCATCTGTATCTCTAGTGTTTACATAAGCAAACTCAGCGTACATTTCAAATAAAATAAAAAAAACGTCACTTTTTTAAAAATAAATTTTTTATTTCATGCAATGTTTTATTTCTGTGCCGTCTTCAAGTATGCCCCAATATTTCCTTTTCGATATTACATGAACTTCGGAAAATACCTTATCTAGCTTAAAACAGCCCATCTTTTCACCGACCATTCCCATTTCAATGAGTTTGTTATAGCCTTCTTCGTTCGTCATGAGTGCGTCAATGTTCTCATAGTAAACCTTCACTTTGGATTTGACTTCGGAGAAGAATTTGTTGTAGTTGTCAAGGACTGCCTTTGCGAACTGAGGGTAAGACCAATGTTCGACAATAGGTTTTAATGTGGTTACTAAGCCACTTTGACCTTGAGTGAATTCGTACTTCAAAACAAAAGGAGAAAACCTTTCAACAAAGTTGTCGACCTTCTCATAATGTTTACTCTTCATCTCTTGAGGTTTCTTAATGGAATATCCCCATGTCGAATTCATAAGCAATTTGAGTGTCATTGCAAGTTTGGGGTTTGAAGCTTTCCTAATATCATACAGTTGTTGTATGACTTTTCCAACTGTATAGTTCCTTCCCGGGAACTCACTATCTTCGTTTGGAATTCCAGTCGGAATATATTGGACAAACCTCATGTATGCAGCGTTAAGGTCTACATAGTATATCTTTTCATCTGAGTCGAACTTGTCGCAACCAATTGGTCCAGTTTGTGGAAATTCAAGTGAGTCTCTTATCTTCTGAGAAACTTCTCCTGTTATCTCATAAACATCGTCGAAGCAACCTGTTTCATATAAAACCTTCTGACCTAACTCAGATGCTCTCCAATACAATTTGACGTCAATTGGATGTCTCAATGGAAGTTTGTTTATAGCATCTTGAAGTTCTTGCAACCTCATTGGAAGTTCTTCTGGTTCAGGTTGGTATCCGAACATACCAACCCCTGTGGAACTGTGTACTTCTTTTGTACTAGAACTTTGTCTGGAACAACTTTTGGTCTTGCTAACAATGAAAAGTTTGTTTCGTCTTTTGGTACAAAAGTTTCTGTCAGCTTGTCATCTGGAATTGGTTCCAACAAACCTTTCTCGAAAAGAATGTTTACAGCTCTGACAATGTTGCACTTACTTTTACCAAAGAATGGGTTTGTAAGACTTTCGTTCAACATGAAGTGGTTGTGGACAATTACAATCTTCAACCATGGTAAGTCTTTGTCAACAACATAGTCGTCATGTGAAGAACCTTTAGCTGTAGGTATGTTGACTCGGATATTGACATTTGCCAACGGTGCAATTTTTGCCAATTGACCTCTGAGAATGTACCTTGTCTTCACACATGACTCAAGATACTTCATCTTCTCATCTGTAACAAGACCAGAGTTCCTGAGACATGTAAGAATGCAAGGTTCGTTGACAATTGTTTCAATTGAATTGTAAATTCCATACCTTGTCAAGTCAATGTCAGACTTATTTATGAACGGGAAGTATCCAGCATGTTGTCTGACTGCTTGAGGGTTAGGTTGGTACCATTCGAACTTGATACTTGCAATTCCTTCAATTGCATTCAAAATGTCTGAGTCGGAGTCAACCATTTGTTCTCTCTTTGTAGTCTTGAAAGCGTCAAGAAGTTTTGCGGCTGTTTGTTCATTGCCATGTGCATAGTAAATGTGACCATCCAAATCTGTTATGGTCAATCTGAGATTGTGTCCTTTCTTATTTCCGTCTTGTATGGCAGCAAGTACTCCCATGAAGCCTTCTTTGTTCTTTCCTTCGTCAAAGTTTACTGTAAAGGTTCGACCAGATGTAATTTGACTTCTAACTTCACGATACTTTTCATATGCATATCTTGTTCTTTCCATGGGAGCATGTGTGTCTTCACCTTTTCCTTTTTTCCTTCTCAAAGGATGCAATTGTTCGTCATGTTTCCAGTAGAATCTGGCAAAGCCGTCGTGTCCTTCAACTTGAGGTTCACTAACATCGAAAGGCATGTCCATAAGACGTTCTTCTTCTAACCTCTCTAGTCTGTTTGGATAATTGGCACGTGCTGTTTCCAAATCCATTTCGTAGCGAAGACCAGACAATTTGTCATAGACTTTTATGGGTCTTCCCTTCCTATATTTAAAATTCTTCGAAACTCTCCAACCATATCTTTGTAACTCTGCTTTTATTCTAGCAGACTTTCTATCCATTCTATATGGGGGCATTTTTATAAAAATAAAAAAAAATTTCTTTACTTTACATAACCGCCTGCTGCCATAAGTCTTTGACGCCAACCCATACCAGCTAATGAAGGTTGACTTGGTTTAGTTTGGAAACTAAACTTTGGTTTTGGTTTATCTTCAGTTTTTGGTTTTTCTTCTTCTATCGGTTTTGCGTCACTTTTTGGTTCCTCTGACTTTACTTCACTTGCAGGAACAGTTGTGTCGTCAACATCTTCATAAATATCATATGCCATTTGTTTTTGTTTTCCTTTCAACTTTTTGTGTTTGTTGTAAAGTTTAGAATATTTCGACTCTAAGTCAATGAGATGTTCTATAATGAACTGTTGGTCAGTGAAGTAAACTTTTCCATCTGTTGTCTCGAAAGCTCCTTCAGACTTCAATATTTTATTTGTGAGAGTCTGTTTCTTTTTTGAGATACTAGCCGTTCCATTTCTATGAAAAGTGACTTTATAGTTAGGGTTTGTATTTCCAGACCTGGCACTTTCTATTATTGAATTTTTCTCTTCATCTGTAAGTTCTTTGACAGGTTTTGACAATGGTTCTGAACTTTTTGTTTGTGGTGTCAAATCTACCGTTTCAACTTCTTCGGTCATTTCATCTCAGTAAAAAATTTAGTTTGGTTTGTTTTCAACTGGTTGTTTAGGTTTTTTAAGTCGGTCTAAAACTTCCTGAGGTATAGGAAGAACTTTACAAACACGTGGTGTAAATGCTGGAAGCCGACAAATCCATCTTGAACTCATTTGTCTCAATGCTGCATTGTTCATTTCATCTCAATAAAAAACTTTACATTCCCCACGTTTGAGGCGGTTGAGGTTGGTTATTGTTTACCCACTGTTGTGCATGGTTATATCCTCTGTTAAAGAATCTTTCACCTTGGTCCATATAGTGTCCTGCTTGGTTATAGTAGTCATTTGCTTTGTTATAATAGTTTCCTGCTTGTCTTCCTACATTGTCCATCCATCCTTGAACTTTTCCTCTTGTTTCAGGATTTGGAATAAGATTTGTTGCATCTCGTGCTACATCCCAACCTTTCTGTACAGTTTGTATAATAGGTTGTGCTTTCTCTTTCAGTATACCTAATGTACTCAAAATCTTCCTTCCAATTCCAAATGCACCTCTGGCTATTGTTCCCACTGCGGGTAAAAATCTAGATGCGACTCC